AAGGCCCTAGACCCCCTAAAACCCCTCAAACCCTTGAACCGCCCAAAACCAAACCCCTGAACCCCCTAAAACCCCTAAAGGCCCCAAAAGCCCCTAAACCCATTAAACCCTTTTGAAGGTGACGACCTCGCTGGGAAGCACCTCGTGCCGGGCTGGTTGAGCAAGCTTTCGCCAATGGCTTGGACGGAGGGACTAGTTGAGGCGCATTTTTTGGGTGGGTTTTGGGTTTAGGGGTTTCAAGGTTTTAGGTTTAAGGTGTACAAGTGCTTTAGGCCGTAGATTTCATTGATTTTTTCCAGATTGCAGGTTAAAAGTTCCTGCGGCTGTTTCGCGCGTCACCGGATGACCCCTTCAGAAGCCGCACAAGGTAATCCTCACAACAGAAATATGTTTGCAAGCGCCATAGTATTCCAAAGCCCACTCGAGATCATGAACCCTAAACCCTAAACCCTAAGCCCTTAAACCCTAAACCCTAAACCCTAAACCCCAAACCTTAAACCCTAAACTCTAAACCCTACATCGTGTTTGGTCTGAACTCCTTAAAGCTGCCTCATCTTGGCGTGCAACTTAAGGAGGTCAGTCAAGGCGAGTAATCTTGTTTCATGGTTAAGCTGGGTTGCTGTTAAGGAACTTAAATTAAGTTACCATAATGGGTATATATAGTAAATAATGGGGTTTCCCCAATATAGTCACTTAATCTAAGTTCCTTAACAGCAACCCAGTTAAGGGGCTTAGCGTTGTGTGCGACTTGTGGATTTGGGTGTAGGGAGGAACTTAGGCCCGAGGTTTCGTGGATGGGTGAGATGTAGGTTTGTTGGGCCGGGCTTCGGGTGTGTAAAGGGTTTTGGAATGCTTTCTCCCCTCAACCCTAAACTTCCAACATTGCTTCTCGGTCTGTTTCGTGTCCCTGGACAGGAACTCACCGGCGTGTTAGCGAATGTCACCACAAACACAGCACCTGGGTGAAACAACTGGTGATAACAAGAATCGTAGGTATCGTAATTGTCATAATAGTAGTAGCAGTGATGGTCATGGTAGTCATGGTTGCTGGCAATGCCTAGCACCGCTTATGAGGTCATCCTTCTTTTGATGCTTCCTCATGTCCATCAACGTTCTCTTAGAGTACTGTTGCGCATTATTTCTGTCATTACATTAGCTGAACCAGCTGTCATGAGTACATGTTAGAGATTCATGTCTTGTTACACATGGGATTGTGCCAGGAATTGCTGTAGCTATCACCCAACCTAGGGCCCTTAAGCTTACTTCTCGTCACCCAGGCACCTCCTCCGTTGCTGTTTTTCCCCTTACGACCTTAACCCCAAGTCCTATAAACCTTAAGCCCAAAACCCATTTTTTTTGGTGTCGTCTCTGTGGATACAGTAATGTGTGTGTGCGGTTTCCCCCAAATAACGATGCAACCCTCACGAGCACCTTATCAAGACTACCCCTTCAGAACGGTTTAGGGTTTAGGGTTTAGGGTTTCATTGTTGGTTTTGGAAAGAGTAGAATCTGGACTTTCACCTTTGAGGTCGAGAGTTGTGTCTACCTAGGCCTCACCACACTTGAGCCCTTGATCGGCAAACAGTTTGAGCTCAACCCTAAATTTTGGGGCGTTCCCTGTTCCAGCAGCTGTCCTTAAAGGGGGCTTTATTAAGGGGCCTTTTATAACTCCTGTTGTCTATTGTGGTAACTGTTTCTGTAAGGGTGGATGACCCAACCTAAGCTGTAAACCCTGAACCCTAAACCCTGAACCCTGAAACCAAGCTGAGGCAAGCTACGTCCTGAAAGGATTCTTCCTGCAGAGGTCCCATGCATTTGGGATCCCAGTTTGAAGACTTTTTGCATAAGGTTTTTAGATTTCGGTATGAGACAAGTAGGCAGGAATAAGCTTCCACTTTTTTAGATTTAATTGTTTTCTAACTCATCTTTTATCTCAGTAAAGAACCTGCGGGTTATTCATAGGTTCCCAGTGCTCACCTCAGAATCCGAAGCCACCACCGAAAGTCAGGTATTCCAGCTTCACTATGATCTTTGCTTGGGCATGAAATTTGGAATGCACATGCCCCGGCGATGATGATTTTCCAATCCTCGAAAGGGCTGAGGATTCTCTCTCCGCTGTTGCCAATAAGGGATGTCTCAAAACGTGCAGGTCCATTTTAGGGTTTAGGGTTTAGGGTATATTTTTGGAAAGAGTGTGAACTCTTCACCATGAAAGCAAACACTTGTTGCGAATCAGGCCTTGCATGGACTTCCATCAGGGGACCGAGAGTTTGAGACGTAGCCCTGTAAAGGGGGGGAGTGCCGTCAATTGTTGGCTGAGACTGTGCTGGGACCTCAGTAACACGATATACCATATGTGTAGTATTCATCAACCCTGAACCCTAGACCCTAGACCGGTTGTGTGTTGCACGAGTTCAAAGTGAAGCTGTTGATTTTTTCTGTTTCAATCCTCATGTACTTCAAGTATCATATATATACCCACAAGCCCGGTCTAATCCTTGAGGCCTAGGCCTTTTCTTGCTGTGTGGCGTTGAAGACGTGATCCGCTACACAGCAGGCAACGCAGCCAAAAGCTGAATTTAAAGGATGGCCTTCTAAAACTGCTTTCAGAGGGCCACCTCCACGCATAGGGCTCTGCAACCGGAATGCAGGGACTGCTGCTCCAACAGGGACTGGCAGGTTTAGGTTTGCTGCGCACAGTTTTGACAAGTCGCATGTAACGTGCGATATTCATCTGAATATTGCATGCTGCCTTTTAGTTCACTCAGAAGGTGGGCGAATCTCAGGATGTTCGTTTTCCCATGGGAAGTTTCTCAAAATTGATCGCATGTAGTTCGAAAGGACAACCCCCTATGTATCCCCAGGGTCGATACGGCCCTCGTTTTTGAGAAGCCTTCATAATGCTTCTGCAAAGTCATGTAGCTTTCACTAGGACGGCACTGGAAAGCACAGATGCTTGCTTGAAGGGGCCTGTTTGAAATTCGCTGAGGCACGAAGACGCAAAGTTTGAGGGGCCAGCGGAAGGCAAAACTCGCCCGTTGTTACTGGTGGATCTCAAGAAAGCACAATCTGAATTGAATTCCGTCTTGAGGTCTTATGTTTTAAAGCTCAGGATTTAGGCTTCAGGGTTTTGCGGTTAAGGGAATGGACAATACAATGCAAACTACCCTATCGTAGGCGGTTATATACGGACTCCTGCAAGTATCCTTTGCCCAATTCCCCGCTAACAGCCAGTATGCCTTTGCAGTCACATCTGTTTTGCGTACTGATACACGAAATCCTTCAATGCATGTATACTCGTCTTGATCCCCCATATGGGTAGTTCCCAGAAATAGGGTCCCGTTTTGGTACCCCTAGATTTTCAGGTGCTCAGATTTTCGAGCAATCTGACGGGCGTTTCTTAAAAGATCCCGGGCATAGTCCCTGAACCTTAGATCCTAAATCTAAACCCTAAACTCCAAACCATGAGCCCCAAACCCCACCTCTTGCTCGGCAGACGTAAAGGGTGCAAAGGGTTGGACAAAGACATTGAGACCCAAACCCTAAACCCTAAACCCTAAAGCCTAAACCCGAAATCCATTTCGGAGTCGCCCAGGTGAGACACCGGGCTGGGAAGCCGACTTGGCGACACAATACAAGGCGTAGAAGGGCAAAAAATGTGAGTTCTCAAAAGCCATTTTTTTTTGTTGTTGTTGTTGTTGTGGTTTAGGGTTTAGGGTTTGGAGATCAGGGTTCAAGGTTTAGGGGGTTAATAAAAAGCAAGGGCCAACGATGGAGAACCAAATGGAAAGGCAAATGGAACATGAAATGGACACTGGGTTGTATGGACTCCTCAGCAGCTCCTTGGACCCTTAAGGTCAAAAGAACAAGGATCACCATCCAAGATAGGGATGTTTATCCACACCCAGGCTCCCCCAAAACTTGTCAAGAAATGCACAGTTCCATCCAACCTTTCTTGCTACCATTTGCAATACCGGATAAAAATGTCCCCCCAAACCCTAGACCCTAAACCCTGAATCCCAAACCCTTAAGCCTTAAATTCCGAACCCTAAACAGCTTGGAGTTGGAAGGTGTCCGGAGAGAGCATGCCGGATTTTAACGTGAAAGAAGCCACGGAGAGCCTTACATGCAAGCTTGAACAAAAGATATAGGGTTTAGGCTTTCGGTGATGATAAGAGGTTTGGGGGTATTTCCCCAATGATGGAGAACAATAAATCGAAAACTCAATTGAAGATACTATGTAAAGTTGAGGGCGTAGGGTTTGGGGTTTGGGGTTTAGGGCATAAGTTTTCGGATATTACGCAGGCAATGAAGAATCGAGTGGGCAGGCACTTACAAAATGACATGGAAGCTGTTTTGTTCTTGGTGGTTGGTACCTCTGGATATTAAAGCTCATCATGACCTTGTGTCACTAAGCTCCCATATTTTCCAAGGGCTTGGTTACTGAGGGTCGTTCAGGATTTCTAGTATCTACAGCAGGATTTGAACAGTGTAGGGTCTCGGAGCGGGGCATCGTCTTGTTTTGAGTTGAGAGTTCTAGATTTATGTTTTGTGTCTTCATGTCTCGATTTAGAGTTTCAGAGTGTTTCAGATGTGTTGGAAAAGCATAGAGTGATAGCCGCAGCTTTATGGTGCCATCTGAAACAAGGTGTGGGATGTGGTGACATGGAAGGTTCTCAAAATAGGTTCCTTCTGGGATGCTCTAAATACTAGGGGTGGTATTATGATAGTATCCAAAAAGAGGCCACAATATGGAACATCTGGCACATTTCTTGTAGCTTTCTTGAATCCACCTCATAATCCAGCCCTTGCTTGCGGAGACCTCGTTCCTGCCTAAGTGTGTGGTGGTGGTATGATATGGGTTCCTATCTTCGGGTTCCGAGTGTACGTCTCTCCCACTTTGGAACACCACCTGAAGCAACATTCCCTAACCCCCTAAACCCTAGACCCCTAAACCCTAAAACCCTAAACCCCTTAACCCTAAAGCTTAGCTTTTTTGGATGCCTTCCAGGATTCCCGACGTGTGGGGTGCCTCGCAACTGCTGAGCCAGCAGGATGCGGAGGAGTTTGACGGCCGCAACCAAGCTGACAGCGATGTGGACCCATTCTTGGGCCTGGGTTTCATGTGACTTGGCAATATGGTGTATCATAGTATGTTATAATATGATATAATGTATATTATGGGCGAGTCCATTACAGTATAGCATATTATGGCAGAAGGGATCCAAAGGGGTTGTAGGGACATGTAGGGTTGGACAGAGCGCTTTGAGGCGGATCTATTCTGCGCTGTCTCCAGATGCTCCTCTCACTGCCATTGCAACCGACAAGGATGGTGTCATTGGAATGGCGCAGGTCAAGAAGGATGGCTATGTTCCGTGGCTGCATCCAGTGCGTTTGAGCATTTGTCCGCTCTCACTCTCAGATGCACTATGTGAGCTATTGTCTAAACTCCTAGTATCCTTCTTACTAATCCTTAGAACACTCTCCTATGTAATCCCCTATATAACCCCCTCTAAGGAGTCTAGATTATAGCTCATGTGAGATCACAGCTGAGGTCCAAAACCTGGTGGTAAAGCCGAGCGCCCGACGGTTGGGCGTTGCCACTCAGATCATCTGCTGGTGCGCGGCAAAGTCGCGTTTTCGAGGAGCACAGAAGCTTTGGATGCACGTGCCCAGCTCGCAAGATTTTGTTTTGTTCCGAACAGTCCATTTGGGGACCTTTTTGCGAAGGGAACATGAATCAGGGCTGTTTTTGAAGGATTGCCTACGGATTCTTAGAGATCTACTGTAATTAATGTTGGGCCCTTTTCTATATGCCCCCATCCTCAACAATTTACCATTCTCTTTAATCGTGAGCCACCCCCCCAAATTTTCCGCGCAAGTAGAATCAATTAAAAACATGAAGCTGGTGCTCGCTGTCAAATTAGTGTTGCTATTTAAACTCCATTAGTTCAATTGAAAACCTATTCACAGCCAAGTAAAATCTGATTCAAACCAATTTATATCGAATTAAAATCATTTAAAAGTCACTTCAAAAATCCAATTACAATCTAGATAAACTTTAATCAAACCCAATTGGAAAGCTACTTAGAATTGATTGTGACTCAAGTAAAACCAACCCAAGATGAAATTAAAACAATTCGAAATTTAATTTAATGAAAACCAAGTTCAAATCAAATTAAAGTCTATTCAAAATGAACTGGAATCCGATTAGAACCAACTGAACCCTTATTAGATGAATTTGAGATCCAATTATAATCAATCGAAAATCTAAGTGAAATCAAGTAACCTCTATTTGGAATCAATTGAGAACTTCATTAGCATCAGTTATGATCTAATTCAAACCAATTGAAAACCAGGTAGACCGAGGCTAAGACTCAGTTAAAATCAAGTGAAGTCTAAGTGACAGCTATGTTAAAACCAACAGATGAAAATCAATTGGAAACTTAGTAAAACCAGTTGAAGTTCGCTTAAGATCAAATGGCAATCCAATCAAAATAAAGTGAAAACTAATCAAAGCAATTTCTAACTCAATTTAAACTGATTGACAACCTAATTAGAATCATTCGAAATCTAACTCAAACCAATCTAAAACCCAATAAACAACATTTGAACTCTAACCAGAACCATTTTAAAACTTTAGGCGGTCGCGACAGTTTGTTATTGTTCCGAACCCCAAAATCAAATGCTTAAAGTGGATCCAGGCCTCTGCTGGACCCTAAACCCTAAATCAAAAGTTGACGGATAGCATGTCTCTGTATCATCTCGAAAAGAGCGCTTTATGGGGAGCCGAGGTCACTGAGTTTGTGGATTTTCGGATTCTCTAGTTTCTGGCCTTATAGGTAAAGGCCTTGGTGCTAAAGCTCTGGAATACAAGTCCCTTAAGGCCTGAAGCTCAGGGCCTTTCACTTTGGAATAGGTCCAATTGAAAATTTGGGCGGCTGGAAAAATTGTGTTCTTACAGACCGCTACAACAAATGCCTAAAATGTATCCAGGCCTCTGCTGGCTACCCCCCCCACAGAACATGACGGATCGTATGATTTCGTATAATCCCGAAAAAGCAGTTTTTGTGCAGCTGGCGTCTCTTAGTCTCGGGATTTCGGCGTCTCTGGTATCTAGCCTTGTCTTGGAAAAGTACTTTTAAGGCCTGAGACTCGAAGCCCTTTGGTTTTCAAGGTATCCTGCTCTAAGAGAAGTAGTCTCAGAAAGACCCTGCAAGCTGTTTCTGGTATGCTTCTGTTAGCTAAAGCAAACCAAAGCTGGGTAATTAGTTTCATTTTTAAACCAATATTTTGCCACACCCACACCCAAAAAATATTATTCCAAACTCCTCAAACAATACGCCAAACATGTTATTCAACCTGGTCCTTTGTGTAAGGAGGGTCCAACATTACTTCGGGGCTGGCCTTGTTGGGAGAGCATGAGCTCACGTGTGGTTCGTAGGGAATGCATGAAAGGATGCCGAACATAGTCCCTATAATGACACCAGTAATAGTGGTAATAATAATAACAGTAAAAATACTTGAAATATCAACAGTACTAATCATTATAGGAATGATGACAGCAAGGATAACAGTAGTAACAATAACAGTAGTAGTAATGATAATAACCCCTCTAGAAATGCCTATAAAATTTGCCTCATTCCGTAAACATTCAATCACCTAGTTAGTCATGAACATTCTGGTAGTTTCCTTCTTCTTTGCCAGCCATTCAAACTTCCAACCCTGAACGCTCAACCATGACCACCAGAAAGTCAGGTAGAGTCGGACAACGAGGCCGCGCTAAACTTTTACAAGCGCCTGGGCTTCGAGGCACAGAACTGTTCGGTTTTGGGTTTAGCGCCCAGTTGTCACATCATGGAAACCACATTGAGCACACCATGCAGAAGGAAATGGAAACCGCGTTTTATGCAGGTTTGCCAGGACTGTAGCGTAGAGGTCTATATAGTTAGAAAAGGTTGTTGGGGTGTATTGTGCGACAGTTTTCAGGATTGTAGGGTCATAATATTGATAAGTATTCCGCTACATGCCACGATACCGCCCACGACAAAGAAATGGACAACCAAACGAGCATGTCAGGAAACGCGAGCATATGGTTTTCTTCCCCTGAATTACAGCCCCCTGCGCCTGTCATCATTAAAATACATAAAAGTACCGTGTTGAGAATCTTTAACCTAAGCACCGTGAGGGGTCTTTCTGACTAGGGGAGGGGATTGCTCTTTTGCTTGTGCCTTTGTCATGGCCTGCATGAACGTGGGTTGGAAGCCATTCAAAGAAATTGCAGCGGATTTAAGCAGGAAATACGATCGAGACTCGAGACTGCTACAGTCTCCAATCTAGCATGTTTGTTGAGCATTCATGCATGGCATGAACGGAGGCTGGCCAGACAAATGACACCCACTCAACTTGCGCAGTCGGCTTTATCGAGAACTTGTCGGTTTTGAAGACTATCAGTACCATCAATATTGTTTAAGTATTACTCATCTTATCACCTAAGCCCTAAACCCTAACCCTAGTATGGCTAATTTATTCGCATGAAAGACTCAAAGCTCATTTCATTCCTCAGTTGGCGGACCTTCTCCGTGAAAGGTGGGTCCTGAAGAAGTTCATCGGGATCGGCTGGCCTTGCGACTGAGCAAAGAGCTCTAAGCCCTTCGATTCAGCTGAAAATGCACCTTAGGGTTTAGGGATATAAGGGTTTAGGGTTTAGGGTTTAGGGATTAGGGTTTAGGGTTTAGGGAACAGAGTCTAGGGTTTAAGCATTAGGGTTTAGGGTTTAGAGTTCGGGGTTGGGGGTTTAGATGGTTGGGGCTTAGGGAACCCAAGATTCAATCCATTCTCCCCCCAAAATGAACCTCCCCCATATGGTACCATGGCATACGAGGGGGTATATTTGTTATTAGGGGGAAGGAACTACGTCTGCTTTGCAGGAGCTGCGTTGGATTGGGGGACGCATTTCTGGATCTGCTTCAACTGCATGGGTATTCAAAGGTATACAGGTTGGTGTCAAGTAGGTAGTGCTATCTTTGTTGCACTCCGGGATCCTGTTAGGGAACTTAAAGCAATTAAGTTTGCATCATATGACTATATAGTGAATAGATGAGTTTTCCTCATAGTAGTAACTCAATTTAACTTCCTTAGTCAACCCAACACTTCTGGGGTTCACGGACTATTTAGGGTTTAGGGTTTAGGGTTGATCTTTGTAGTTGGGAGTCGGTCCCGGGTTGGAATGGGTGCATCTAGACGACATAGTAGTTTCAAGCAGTAGCGTGCCACGAGCCATTTTTGGTGTGTATGTTGAAGCTGCACATACGCTAAGGGCAACGCTGTCTTAGGGGGCTTGTGCACAGCAAGGGCTTCCCACATTTGGGGGAATACCGCTCAATGGCTTTTGATCTCGGAAACAAACATAAAAGCAGCCTGGGTTCTTTGTTTCTGAAGCCACTGCCTGCATGGATGGCCTGTCTACTGAAGATTGCGAGGGATCACTGAAGTTTGAACTCATCAATACTTGGAGCGCCAGTGGGACTTAGCAATTTCGTGTACCTTCTCACCCAAGTCGTAGTTCCACTTATCACTATTCTCAACCTACTCACTTAGTTCCCCTGACAATCCAAGTAGCCATAGCCGCACAATGGCCGTACCATGCTTGTCTTTGCGCTCGACCAAGCTTTCTGCGACTCATTTTCTCAGAAAGAAAGCTTAAGATAGCCTCCAATCCTAAAATGTCAAACCTGCAATTCAGAAGCCTGACGCTCTCAGCTCCTACGCCCTTCCAAGCCTAGATCCTAAACCTCAATTCCTACACTCCAAGCCCAACAAGCCTAAACCCTAAGCCCGAATAAGACTGCAAACTCTTAAAGCCCAACCCCTTAACCCCTAAAAGAACTGGTTCCTATGTTGCAGCCATGGTGGACAGCAAGGCAAGGCAAGTTCCAGCCTTCCAGGGTTTCCTTTGGGAGAACCCGAATCTTTGGGTGCTGGGGTGTACAAGGATGCGGCCGCGAGGGATAAACCCTAAACCCCAAACCCTAATAGTCTAAACCCAAAACGTTGTCGCAACAACTCTTGAGCTCAAGACCGCGGGAGTTTTCCTCATGTTCAGGGAGCTGATCTTGCAAATCAGGGTTTTTACTGGAATCGTTAAATCTCTGGTCTGACAAGCAACATGTCACTAACGAATGTTAAAGGTTTGCAAGTCTGAGCTATTTTGGGGTTTCCTAGAATTAGGGGTACCATTCTGAGGGTCCCCATAATAAGGACTGTAGTATTTGGGGGATCTATATTGGGGTCCCCCTATTTTGGGAAACTCCCATTTTCTGAAGTTTACGGCTAAAGGTCAATATCTCAAAGATTGCGCCTCCGTTCAGGTAAGGCTGCCCGGTATGTTGGGATGGCTGAGCGACTCACTCTTTTGAGACCCTGTTGTCTAAAATTATCTCCCCATATCTGGGTCGAACTATCGTTTGAAGGTTGAGTGTTGGTGGATGAACAGACTGACTTTTGGTCAAAGCATAGTGTTCATGAGATTATGATGACCTTGCTATTCGTATCGCAGCTCTCCGCGCCAATATCTAGGTTCTGCATTGCAGTTCCTCCTATATTTAGTTGTAACCCCATCATCAAGGTCCATAGCACAGCCTGCATCCTCTAACCGCGACCCCAACT